CCCACCTGAAAATGTCCTAGACTACACCACAGACTGAACCCCAGAATCCCAAAACCCCTGCTTGGAGGATCATGGGACTTAGTAACTAGGGTTATGTATAAATAAGGTAACTATAATAATAACCCAATTAGGGTACTTATAACCTTACTTACTAAGTCCCATGATCCTCCTAGTGACCCCTAAACCTTAAACTATCCAAAGCCCCCAAAACCCTCCCACTGCAGAGCCCTAATGCTCTTAAGTCTCTTGGGCCAGTGCCTCCCTAAACCCTGAAACCCAGGGTTTAGGGTTGAGGGTCCTGAGTCCGAAAGAAACCCAACATCAAATAGAAACCAAGCGCAACCTGAAAAGGCCCAAGCTTGAAATTCTAGGTTCCCCAGTAGCCCCTTAATAATAAGGGTACCCTTTTTCCTACTATTTGGTTTTAATCAGGGAACCGAAAAAGAAAAAGGGCAAAAGGGGAACCTAGAATTGCTTAGGAAGTCTACAGATGGCCCTGATGCCCTGAAGGTGCACTCAGCGTAATGCAGTGCTTGTCTTGAATCATGACCTTCTGTACCTGACATGAATCTGGGTAGTTCGCTAAATTCGGGGTCCCTTTTACGGTCCTTTTTATAAGGGTGCCGTACGATATATGAGACCTAAAACGGAACCCTAAATTAGAGAAGTACCCATATAGAGCCCTTGTAGTACCCTTGTAGAAACCCTTGTAGATCCTTTTCAGGATTTAAGGAACCCCGGTAGACAGGGACCCTAATTTCGAGAACGACCCATATAGAACCGTTGTAGTACCGTTCTCCAAGAGCGGCCCCAAAGCATTCACATGAATTAATAGCACACGGACCAAGAAAACTAGACTAACTAACCAATGACTGCAAGATTCGCGGTGCAGAGTCTGGATGTAAAATAATAACTATAAGATCAAAAACATTATGAACAGATGTAACTAAAAACATACAAAACTCCAGATGAAAGTAAACACACACCAAACTACATGAGTGGAACAACGGAGCCCCACAGCGTCCCTTTCTGTATACAAAAGCTATAGAAACCCTTAGATCCCTTTAATTTAAGGAACCCCCTAAAAAACGGACCCCTACTTTAAACAACTGCCCCAAATCAAGGTGGGCGGCTATCGGGTTCAGTCTGGCATGATACAAGGTCATGTAAAGGCTGTGGCCTCAAAAAGGAGGAGTATTACTAAGGAGTATGCCTTATAAACCCCAAACCCTGAACCCCTAGGCCCTAAACCCTAAACCCTAAACCCTAAACCCCAAACCCTAAACCCTAAACCCTAAAACCCTAGAGGAGTCATCAAATTAACATGGCATAACCTGAGGGAAACTCCACGGATCCCTAGACAGAGTCTTTAGAGCAACTTTAGGGTTTAGGGTTTAGGGTTTAGGGTTTAGGTTTAGGGTTTAGGGTTTAGAGCAACCGAAAGGATGCCATTATAGAACCCTTTGAAAATTAGAGTAGGATTTTGCGGCATAATATACTATATCTACAATAAGTAACCCCCAAACATAATACTAGTAATTATTTAGGCCCCTGTATTAGGCATGTTCCTTCAATTCCGGGCTCGGACTCTCGGGCTGGTTGATATAGAGTTTTGGTTTAGGGATTGGGGACCATTGCTAGAACTCCAGGGCCTTTTTTGGTGTTCTATAGGTTTCTCAGGCAATGGCCAGGGTCTACTGTTCCTGGGCTTTGAAGTAACCAGGGAGAAAAAAGATAGACTTTTATTTCATAATCGTTCCTTTAAGGAACAGGTCCCAAACAAAAAGTATTCAAGTATGGTACTCCAAAGCCCAGGTTCCTAAGCAGCAGAGCCTCACCTCGCTAGACTTCAGGACATGTCTATTCTTCGTGGTGCGAAGCACCCAGGCTCAGTTCTCGGAGGCTATGACACCATGAGTACGTGTCTGAGCGGTTTAGGCTCGCAAGAGTCTTCGATTCACCCGGGTTTGGGGAGGGTTTAGTACATACATATATATATATATATATGTATTTGTCTATATATTTATTTCGGGTTCAAGGTTTGGGGCTAGGACTCAGGGTTTAGCATGTAAGCTTATTGCAACGATGCGTTGTGGGATTTTTGGATCGGTGCCTCCATTGTTAGAGTAGGGTTTACGGTGGCATACTCTAGCACAACTAGGTAGAGACTACAACTCTTCTGGCTTCTATAGTAATGTAGGGGGCCCTAATAATTAGAATAATAGGGCTTTTGGGTATGTTCTAGCCCTCCAAAATAGGATAGGTAATCTGGGTTGGCTCCTCCAAGCCTCTGAAAAATATTCGTAAATAAGATCCTCTTAAGCCCAATAAGGGAAAAAGTATAAAATGTCCCAGAGGCCTACCTAGTAATTATTAAGGACCCTCTGTTAACTAGTTGTGACTTTGTCACCCTCCCAGACTCCACCCTGGACCACCTGTGGATCCGAATGGCTCTGGAGCCATGACCTACTTTTCCTATAAAACCCTAAACCCTAATGTAGGGGCCGTAATAATTAGAATAGGATTTTGGTAGGTTCCTTACAATAGGTATAGTACAGTATACCCCCCCAAACCCTATTCTAACTATTTTGGCCCCTGTCCCTAAACCCTAAACCCTAAACCCAAAAACCTAAACCCGAAACCCTAAACCCTGCAAGGCCCTCAACACCCCAGTTCCAAGCCAGGACCACCGAGAGCAAGGAGAAGAGGATGACATCCTGCATCTCTGCGAAAAGCTGATGGACCTTCCTGGCATAGTCTAGGACATTTTCAGGTGGGTAGTTACTGTTATAGGAGCCTTATAGAAGGCCTATATACCTTATAGAAGCCTTATAGACCCTAAACTCCCCACCTGAAAATGTCCTAGGCATAGGGACTCGAGACTTCGGGGTTAGGGTTTAGGGTTTGTAAGGAGAAAGAGAGGAGGTTTGAGGGGTGCTATGGGTTCTTTATAGTTCTTCATGGCCCTTATAGGAGTATAGAGAAACCCTAAACCCTCGGCACTAAACCCTATAGTATACTTCACACTTTAGACCCTAAGCCGTCTTGGAGAGTTTCCATGCATGATTTAGCCTTCCTGGCGACTGAAGGACTTCAGGGTTTCGATTTTTGCAGGTGTTTTATGGAGTCGCTTAGGGTTTCGGGCTTAGGGTTTAGGGTTTAGGGTTTAGGGTTTAGGGTTTCGGTTTAGGGAGCATGATGTCATGTGTGAGGTTGAGACTGGTTTTGACGTTTCAATTTTGGGATTGGGCTTCCCGGCACTTGCCCGGCAGGGCTTACTAGCGACTTCCGGGCTTCTAAATGAGGACCCGGTTCAGCGGTCCTCATGACTACTGTAGGAGCCTTAATAATTAGAATAGGGTTTTGGGGTATATTCTACTATATATAACTATAAAAAGGAACCACCAAAATAGTATAGGTAATGATTAAGGCCCCCCAAATTAGGGGTTTTGGTTTTTTTTTTGCGCGTCAGTGCGCGGGGCTTCGGAGTTGGAGCTTCTGGTCTTCTTCGCTCAGGGGCCTTGCAATTTTCCCTTTGTCAGACTCTGCGAAACAATTCGTTACATAGGGTTTTCGGGTTTAGGGTTTAGGGTTTCGGGTTTGGGGCTTAACTCGTTACAGAAAAGACGCAGATTTAATATGAGGTTCAGCCATAGCAACTCGGCTCAATATCTTGCAGCATCAGGCCTACGCCGCAAAGCCTACAATCCTCGTCTTCAGGGAGGCTTCGTGTTCCTTCAAGCGTTCTATGCTGGGGCTCGGGATTCCCTTGTAGAAACCTGGTGCAGACCTTAGCGGGTGCATACTTAAATTCCTTTTGTGGTCGTTGCAACCCTGATCCCTAGGACCCCAAACGCTAAAGACCAACGCAATCAAGCCCCAAGCTTTGGCCCTAAACCTACTGTAAAACCCCTCCAGGCCCTCAACGCCAGCCTGACACCCCTAACCTGAACCCCAACAATTTTCAAAACACACAACGAGAGCCACAAACTTTATTCCCTTTCACCCTGAATGCCCTAAACCCTAAACCCTAAGCCCCCAAACCCTAAACCCTAAACCCTAAGCCCTAAACCCTAAGCCCCCCAAACCTAAACCCCTAGAGAGGAAGCCGAGCCGGGCTTTCGCTGGGTCTTCCGTCATCATCAGGTACAGCTTCAAGGATCGCCTCTGTATCTGAGGGAGGATTTAGGGTTTAGGGTTTAGGGTTCGCCTCTATATCTGAGGGAGGATTTAGGATTTAGGGTTTAGGGTCGTGTGTAATGGTTAGAGTAAGGTTCCTTGGAGGGCTCTGTTCAAGCGGGTCTATAAGGGTTTAGTATAGGGGACCTTAAAGCTTGTTGATAGGGTCTGGGATTATTATCATACGACTTTCAAGGAGGAATAGCATTGGTCATTTGTCAGACTGTCATAGTATGTAATATCTGTGAGTTTCTGAGAACATGCATTCCTCGTTTGGGGGCAGGGTCCTTACATCAAGGATCCTACGATTCATGGTATATATCAAGGCCCGTGTGTTCTGAAACGTTCGTTTGGATGCAGGCTTCAGGGTGTCTTGGTATTAGGGCAGTAGTGATGAGAATGGGATTTGGGATTGGGAACATACAAATATTATACACCAGGAACTCCAAGGACAAACATTTGTAAACCCTCCCAGAGCCCTTACGAAGTCGAATAGAACGAATAGAACGTTGATAAAGCCTAGATCCTCGCGGCGCCGGGGCTCGAGCAGGTCCCACTTTCCACCTCGTCTCAGCCGTCGCTTGACTTACGGGCTTGCAGTGGGGCCTGCGGTGTCATATGGGTAGTTCTCTAAATTAGGGTCCCTTTGTTAGGTTCCCAATATAGTACGGCACCCCTATTAAAAAGGACCCTGAAAGGGACCCTAATTTAGAAAACTACCCATATAGGGTTTAGGGTTTGGAGTTCATTGTTTAGGGTTCGGGGCAAAATTAAGGGTGCAGGGTTTCTGGGGTTCAGGGGTCACATAGAGTTTTCATGAGGGATTCAGTATGTAGAGAGTTTGCTCCTAGTCTCCGTAATGGGTTCTGGAGTTATAGACTTCGTAGCCAGGCTTCTATAGGGTCTATTGGAGATTCTAATTACTCGGGTTTATGATGGGTAGGGAGGATATCTTGCGGAATTCATGGCAATTTTAAACCCTAAACGCTACAACCCCAAACCCTACACCCCCAAACCCTATATACCCTAAACCCTATATACCCTAAACCCTAAACCGGTAATTTGGAAATTCAGAATTCAACGATTTAAGGCTCAAGGGGGTGACGTTGGCAGTTTGTGGCCCCAGCTTGAAGGTTCTCTCCGGGTGCAGGCTTAGGGTTGAGGGATTAGAGCTTATAAGGTTTAGGGTTCAGGGTTTAGGGATTAGGCTTTAGGGTTGAGGGATTAGGGCTTAGGGTTTAGGGCTGATAAGGTTTAGGGGTTTAGGGTTTAAGGTTTAAGGTTCAGAATTTAGGACTTATGGTTCAAGGCTTAAGGTTTCGGGGTTTAGGGTTTAGGGCGTCAAGTTCGAGAGTTTGGAATGCTTTCCTGCCCGTGGTTTTGGCTTTAGGGTTTGGGGTGCAAGTTAGGATTTAGGGAGGCAGTGGGTTTCGCGGTCAACCGTTTCTGCAAGCCGTTGGACTTGGGCATGGGCATGTCTAGGACAGAGGCAAACGGGGCATAGGTGACGAGCAATGACAACTAGCAAGAATGGGAAGATTGCCCCATGCCCTGCATGAACTCCTGCTGCCTGCAATACTGCGTACCCATTAGGAGGGTCAGTGACACACGCATCCCCTAACCCTAGAACCCTAAACCCTGAACCCTAAACCCTAAACATTAAACCCTAAACCCAAAAACCTAAACCCTAAACCCAAAAACCAAAACCCTAAACCCAAAAACCTAAACCCTAAACCCAAAACCCTGAACCCTAAACCCAAAAACCTAAACCCCAAACACCCAAAACCTGATGCATGTGGCGGAGCCTTTCTTTTCGTCGTAGTGGTCGTTGTGCTTCTGCACAGCCTCATCGAGAAATCTGAGGTCAGGGGTTAGGGTATAACTGAACCCTCAGCCCTAGAACTTGAACCCTCAACCCCTGAACCTTAAACACTCAACCCTATCTTAAACCCTCAACCCTAAACCTTAGACTCTCGACCCTGAACCCTAAACCCTGAACCCTAACGTTAAGCTTCGGGGGCAAGGCCTCACCGAGGAATCCTCGGGAGGGTTCTCGGGCTTCGGGCGACCTTGAATCCCTCTGATACGGTGTAGGGTTTAGGGTTTAGGGGTTTAGGGGTTTAGGGTTTAGGATTTATAGACTTTAGGATTTATAGGGTTGAGGGTTTAATTATAGGGTTTAGGGTTTAGGGTTTAGGGTATGTATGTAGGGGCAGGACCCTCCGAGTAGCCTCAAATGGAGGTATAGGGTCCCAAATTAGCGGTATTTAGGGTCAAATCGAGGATAGATGGAGGGTCTTGGAACCTGCACACAACCTATCGAAAAACATGTATGTAGGTTTAGGGTTTAGATACGTTTGTACGTGTGTATCAGGCAGTCCTGACTATACATGCATCTAAAACAGCTTGAAGATCAAGACCCCTGCCACGTTCGTCAGGTGGATCATGGCATCTGACCTGGCATCAAGACTCAGAGACTCCAATATCCCTTAATTACGGAATATACCTTAAGTTATAGTAGGATCCCTAATATGATTTAAGGTATACTCCTTAATTAAGGGATATATGGGAGTCTCTGAGAGACGAAAGCGCACGTCCCCACAAGCGCATTCCGCCCTAGCAAAGCCTCCCAAGCTCAACAAAGGGATGCCCGAACCCATTCAATTCAAGGAAACTGCAGGTGGGGAGTGTAGGGTATATAGGGCTTCCATAAGGCTTCCATAAGGTATATAGACGTTTTATAAGGCTCCTGTAACGGTAACTACCCACCTGAAATGGTCCTGGACTTTCAAGAGCTCTGCGGGGAGTTTGGGATTCCGGAGGCATGCTTCTGAACTCCTGCAGATTTAAGTACAAGCTTCGGGACTGCGTATAACGGTTACTCCCGCGGTTCGAAGTAAAATTTGAGGGCCAGAAATGCCCGGCCTAACTTCGACTCTCGAATACAAATGCCCTAGAACCTGCGGTGACCTCAAAATGTTGCCTGCTTCCGTGCAAGACGTAGCCTGAAACCCAAAACCGCAACAATGCCCTAAACCCGCAATCCAAATCATAAACCCCAGGATGTCCGTCAAAGAAGGCGTTCAGGCAAGACACCTTAAGAAACAGAGGGCACGTGACACGGATCCTTATAATCTGACTTAAGGTACATTCGTTTTCTCTAGGTTTAGAAAGCTCCATCTTGACTGCATATGTTGTGACAGGATGGGTCTGGGCCTTAGGCTCCTATTGCAGGATGTTAGGAACATCCGCCTGTCCAACCAGATATGGAACTGCCGTCCTCAAGTCCCAAACCTACGTCCCACCACAAATACATAAGTGCGTTTGAGAACCTGTGATACAACGTGTCGGGTTGCAGGATTTGTGATTCAAGGACAAATTGAATTCAAGACCTGGCGGGCTCGAAATCCGAAACACCAAACCCCCCAACCCTCGAATCCCAAACAAACCGAACGCGCGAAACCTATAGATCCGTTTTGAAGTTGCATGACTCTTGTATCTTCAAGGACCCCTTCCGAATGCCCTCCGGGCATCTGGCAAATCAGCAGTGTCCATGGAAAAGCGAGCATGCGAGAAGCGAGCCTTGTCCAAGAGAGAACGAGTTGGTGTTTTGGGTTTAGGGTTTTCGTGCGATTTGGGAGCTCAGAAAATTACATAAGGCATCCAAAGTAGAGATCCTTATTGCACTATTGCTGACACGCCTGCAAGCATGTGGCCAAATGCCACATGCAAGCTTAGCTAACAACGGGGTCTTCATTGCTTGACTATAGAATTCCTTACGGCTATACTATACTGTAAATGTAGAGGAACTATAAGGGGTAATCCCTAGATTCCCTACATTTTCGGGCTTTAGATGCCCAATAATCTATAAGCTAGTGCTTTGTTTGGACGAGCCCGCTGTCATCACACACTAAACAAAAACGTCTCATTGGGTCTGCCACCATCAAAAGTAATCTTTTCAACTCACTTCCCGACCCACACTAGAATCTCAGGAACGTGCGAATCCGCTGCGGTACCTCGAGATGAGCCGGCAAGCTGCTTTTCGCAGAAATATTGCAAGGCGGTCTGTCTTGTGCCAGATACGCAGAAAAGCACTCAGTGAGTTATAAGAGTTGTATAAGTTATATTGCTAGGTAGTCAGACCCCTCACAGTGTTTCAGCAGTTCTGAGTGATGTCTCTGTGCTCGACAGCCACGTGAGGAAACAGGATGTATCTCCAGGGTGTCTGTTGCTCCATGTCGCTCCCATACTCGGATGCTCGGACGCCAGCACATAGATGGTCAAGGGGCTGTAGCTCGTGACCAACACCTCAAAGACGCAGGATGCTTTTTCCAGTATTTTTCCGAGCCCTGGTTGGTTGAGATGGGGCGGTTCCAATCAAATCTGTTAGAGATTCTAGTGCTTATGTCGCTTGGAATTGTGAGGTGGAGTTTTGAGATTGCAGTGTCACGCTGCGTTCTTTTCGGGTTTGCGGCCGTGAGCAAAAGCGCCGTCAACTTCAACTACTATACAATCAAAAAATAGCCCTAAATCCGAAATCCGCGGGATCAGAGACCTGTTCCTTGGGTTTACATGTAGGTCCTTAGCATGTTTCTACTTTCTTTTGAGATTTTTCGTTCTGCCGAGCGGTTCTCTGATCGGAGGCCATATGTGCCGAGTTCAGGGTTGCTATAGGCTTCTGTGAGGGTTCTGAATGTTTGTTCATGTTAAGAGCAGACCTTTAAGGGTTTAGTTTTGGTTTGAATGCTTTTCATGTTAAGAGCGACTCTATGAGGGTTTAGTTGTTTATAGGTCTTACGTTTGGCCAGCACTCCCTACTGCATACTTATTAGGACCCGCTTGGATGAGCCGCTGTGCACTTCCTCTGAATCGCAGAGGTCGAATGGCCTCGCAAAGACTCTGGAAATTGATGGCAGGACAAACTTGAATACATACGGCCTAAATGATTACCAATACTAATTTGGGGGGTTCCTTATTATAGTTATAGTATCATGGGCCCCAAAACCCTATTCTGATGGTTAAGGCCCCTATATATATGTGTATATATATATATATCTATTACTTGGCGCTTGATGGTTGTCATGGCCAGCATTATCAATTACCGTTGCTGTTCTTGCACGGTAGCCTCCTAGCAACTATACTACTAATACCTCTTAGATAAAAGACAGTGCGGTGGCTACTGCCTCTACAGTTGCTACTACCACTTTTGCTGCTGCAATTGCTATTGCGAGGAGACGTGCATCTCTAAAGCTGAACATGATGCTTTTGTTGAAACGATCAACACTGTGAGCCTTCAGTTTTGGTACTTTGGTTAAGGGCTTCTGGCTATATCTACTTACAGCCCCAACTATGGCACGCACGCCGAACTTTCAAGTATCCCAACCATCAACCCGCACACAGAATCCCGATTAAAAACAAACAGCTGGGGTGAGCACATAAAGCCGGAGATCAAACTTCTTGCCGCCGATGAGCAGTGGCTCGGAAAGGTATCTTTGGACCTCATGATTTGGCAATCGTCCCGTGGTCTTCTGATCAAGTAATTTTGAGGTTCAGTGCTTGGTGCCTTTGAGGGCTGTTTTCGGGTGGAGGATGCCTTAGGTGAGGGCTTGAGGCTTGTAGTGACTCGAACATAGGAGTTTGGATGTGGGTTGTTCAGCCCCTGGGATGGGAACCCCCCCAAACCCTGAACCCTAAACTGTACATCGTTTTTTACAATTCTGCCAGGAATCCCCAAGCCCTTAAAGGAACCCATGAAAAGCAGCCATACTGAAAAGCCTCAGTCGCAGAAGCAATGCGCCAGAAAAAGAAATGCAAACGGACGGTTAGCTTTCATGTGCTTTGGTCAAGCTCTTATGGTCGGGGGATGCCTTTGGCCAATGCCTGCTTGCAAGTACTGCCGTTGACTACAGGGACGTTATTCCAGATCATTCTAGCCCGTCCACCCTTTGTCTTAGGGTTCCATTCGACTATACACACAAACACGGAAATGGTCAACAAGGTTGCGCAGTCAAGGCCACACTGCTGCGAGCAGTCTCCCGGAACTGATTAGACACGACGGCAACGACAACAACGACCGAGGAGGAGGAGGAGGAGGAGGAGGAGGAGTCGGGGTTAAGGGCCCATTCTAGGGGCACATGGTTTCAACCTTAGA